GCAAATTTAAAGATATTTAGGGACTTTGGTGCATCATTTACCTTAATTCGGACGTAAATATATATGAGAGCTATACCTAAATATGAACCGATTTTTACGAAACTTAGCACACATTATTCTAGAGTCTATTCAGTACGCTGTGCCAAATTTCGTGCAAATCAAAAGATATTTAGGGACATTGGTTCATCATTTACGTTAAATCGGATGAAAATATATATGGGAGCTATATCTAAATCTGAACAGATTTTTACAAAACTTAGCACACCTCATTATAGATTTAATTCAGTAAGCTGTGCCAAATTTCGTGCAAATCGAAAGATATGTAGGGACTTTGGTGCACCATTTACCTTAAATCGGATGAAAATATATATGGGAGCTATATCTTAACCTGAACCGATTTTCACGCAACTTAGCACACATCATTCTAGAGTTAATTCAGTAAGCTGTGCCAAATTTCGTGCAAATCGAAAGATATTTAGGGACTTTGTTGCAACATTTACATTAAATCGGACGAAAATATATATGGGAGCTATATATAAATCTGAACCGATTTTTACGAAACTTAGCACACATCATTCTAGGCTTAATTCAGTACGCTATGCCAAATTTCGCGCCAATCGATGATATATTACTTTGGTGCAAACTTAGCACACTTAAATATATATCATTCTAGACCCAATTCAGTACTCTGTGCCACATTTCGTGCAAATCGAAGGAATATATAGGGACTTTGGTGCACCATTTACCTTAAATCGGACGAAAATCTATATGGGAGCTATATCTAAATCGGAACCGATTTTAACGAAACTTGACACTTAGCATTCTAGACTTAATTAAGTACGCTATGCCAAATTTCGTGCAAATCGAAAGATATTTAGGGACATTGGTGCATAATTTACCTTATCTAAATCTTAACCGATTCTTCCCAATTTCAATAGGGTTCGTCAATGGGCCAAATAAATGAGCTGTGCAAAATTTCATCCAATTCGAATCATAAATGCGACCTGTACTTTGTTTACAATTTAACATGGACAGACAGACGGACATGCATAAATCGAGAATCGAAAGTGATTCTATGCATATTCTCAAAAGGAACCATGTGTCTATCTCGTTTCCTTATGCCTTTTACAAACATATGCACAAAGACATAATACCCTGTACCACAGTGTGGTGAAGGGTATAAAAAATTCTTCTGTTTTTTTTTTGCAAAATAGTTTGTTGTTTTTATAAAAAACAACTATTTATTAGTGGGGAATTTATGGCAATTGTCCGCCGAGTGGTAAGGCAGGGAAGACTATAGTTTCGGATGTCGCCACTGATTCTCATCAGTTCCCAGAAGCTAATAATAGCTTCTTTACAAAAAAAAACCCCAAACCAAAACTTCTCTTAAAACAAATCGTCTCTTCTTCTATTTTGTTAGAATATGTTACAGAGTTTTGTATCCTGTTCAGACAAGTCTGATAAAACTCAGTACAAATTCGAATTTCTTCTGAAACAGTATTTTTGTTTTACCTCAGAATTTCGAGTGAATAACTCTCATATTCGTATTTTTATAATCACAAACTAACATTTTTCTTTGAGTGTATCTGCAATGTCAATAGCGTTGATATGCCAACAACTTGCATACCACTCTCATAGGTTACAGTGCAGACAGCGGTTATCTGTCTGCTTTGGAGGTTTTGTTGGAATGTTAGACTGCGATATGATGAATATTATACAGTTCACATACTTACAAGTATGTACGCATGTATGTACTTGTGTGGCAGTGTAAATATTGTAATTACAATTTGTTAAGATTTTCAAGTGGTATTATGTGTTACTTGTTACTTTTTGAGTGATTGTTATTTTTTTTTTCAAAATTTTGAAATGTGTGTCAAACATAAGTTTATTTTCTCTCTCTCCCCCTCCTGTTCTATCCCATTCCGTAATGTAATTTCCATTGTTATCTTGTGGTTTATGGATTATCCGACTTTTGCTAGTGAACATGTTGGGAGCTGTATTGTGGGATATTACCCATAATCGTGGGTTTAAGGCAAAATGTTCGATGATTATGGCAAACCAAAGTTCAACATGGTTTGAAACGTTCAATTAAAGGCCTAAGGTTATAAAATGATTTTTGTTTTTGTGTTGTAGGAAAAAAAGAAAAAAATTCAAAAATTTAAGAAAGGTATCAGTACAAGTGTTTGGGGAAGGTATCAAAATTTTGCTAGAGGACTTTTTTGGATTTTTTCCTAGAAATACAATTTTAAAATCTCTTTCATAATAACTTTCCAATTGAACCTGTTTTGTGGAAGCGCTCCTTTTTCATTTCTATTTTTTTAATTAAAATAACAAAAAAATGTAGTACTCATTACAATTATCACGCATTAAAAAAAAAATAAACATAAACAAATCATGATTATGCTTGCAAAAGAAAAAAATATATTGAAAGACAAGTAACTCTAGAAAAATTTCAAGTGCAAATAACTGAATAAACGACTGCAAAATATTTCGAATAACATGTGGATTGACTGGAAAAAAAATATTAAAAAAAACAATAATGAAGAGGCTTGGTGGATTCTTCTTTGGTCTGGTATTTGCCTTTAAATTATGTTTGGCACAAATTGACTCCTTTCACTGGCCGACCAGACATGTAGCAACATGCATGGCAAGATGCTGATCGTCTGGATGCTGATGATCATCATCCCATCTCCATTAACATGACAAACAAAATTTGTAAATTTTTTTCGAATTGAAAAAAAATGCAATAAAGAAAAGGCGCCAACAATTTTAAAACATGTATGGCGTTGGTAATGGGCAACAACATACCATCCAACCAACCGGTTGGAGGCTGCTGCTGCTGGGTTGGTAGGTTGAAATGGTAGCCCAGTGCAAAAATGCATGACACGACAATTACACAAAAAAAATATGATGTTCAGCAGGAATCTTGTCTGCCAGCCATGTGTTGTGAGGATAGAGGACAGAAAAAAAACTTTCTCACTTTATGTTTTGTTAAGGAAAAATAAAACAAAAAGGGAAGAAGTGAAATAAAGAAAACAACGAATTTTATGCAGCATCAATATTTTTTGTGCGTGACGCAAAATTTGCATGAAAATATGGCAAGGAAGTATTTAATACACTCGAAAAAAATTGTTTGAGATTTGGAGTCGTCTGTGTACCATGAGACAAATTTATGGAAAACGATTTATAGGAAAATTGATAAACAATATGCGGTACCCCGCACTTTTAATAATTTATTTTCAATCAGACAAAACGCAATAACATCATTCAAGTCTCAATTTTGTACGATGTGCAAAATTTCGTGCTAATCAACAAACATTAGGAGTTCGGTGCAACATTTATGTAAAATCGGACGAATATATATGTATGAGAGCACACATAATTCTAGATCCAAATCAGTACGCTATACCAAATTTCGTGCAAATCGAAGGATTAATAGGGACTTTGGTGCACCATTTACATAAAATCCGACGAAAATATATATTGGAGATATATCTAAATCTGAACCGATTTTCACGAAATTTAACACACATCGTTCCAGACTTAATTCCGAACGCTATGCCAAATTTCGTGCAAATCGAAGGATATATAAGGACTTTGGTACACTATTTACCTAAAATCGGACGAAAATATATATGGGAGCTATATCTAAATCTGAACCGATTTTCAGGAAACTTAACACACATCATTCTAGACTTAATTCAGCACTCTGTGCCAAATTTCGTGCAAATCGAGATATATATAGTTACTTTGGACGAACATATCGGACGAAAATATATATGGGAGCTATATCTAAATCTGAACCGATCTTGACGAAATTTAACACACATCGTTCTAGACTTAATTCAGTACGCTGTGCCAAATTTCGTGCAAATCGAAGGATATATACGTACTTTGGTGCACCATTTACTTAAAATCGGACGAAAATATATATAGAAGTTATATCTAAATCAGAACCGATTTTCATGAAATTTAACGCACATCGTTCTAGACTTAATTCAGTACGCTGTGCAAAATTTCGTGCAAATCAAAAGATATATGGGGACTTTCGCGCACTATTTACCTAAAATCGGACGAAAATATATATGGGAGCTATATCTAAATCTGAACTGATTTGTACGAAATTTAACACACATCTTTCTAGACTCAATTCAGTACGCTGTGCAAAATTTCGTGGAAATCGAAGGCTATTTAAGGACTTTCGCGCACTATTTACCTAAAATCGGAAGAAAATATATATGGGAGCTATATCTAAATCTGAACCGATTTTCATGTAATTTAACGCACATCGTTCTAGACTTAATTCAGTACGCTGTGCCAAATTTCGTGCCAATCGAAAGCTATATAGGGACTATGGTGCACCATTTACATTAAATCGGACGAAAATATATATGAAAGCTATATGTAAATCGGAACCGATTTTCAGGAAACTTAACACACATCATTGTAGACATAATTCATAACGATGTGCCAAATTTCGTGCAAATCGAAAAATATATAGGGACTTTGGTGGACCATCTACATTAAATCGTACGAAAATATATATGGGAGCTATATCTAAATCTGAACCGATTTTCAGGAAACTTAACACACATTATTCTAGATCTAATTCATTACGCTAAAAAACGTGATTGTTTTTTTTTTCATATGAAAAAATTTCATTTTATTTATTATTTAGTAATTTTTTTCCTAATTTTCTTTTGAGTGTTTTTCCCCAAAACAACAGAAAAAATGACAAAGTCCAAAAAATCCCATATAAAAAAACTCAGCATGTGTAAGCATGCATAAAATGAAGAAATTTTCTTCATCTCAGGATGCTGTGGCTGCAGTCTGGTCGATGATGTTATTTTAACGCCAGACATTGATAAGTTTTTTTTTTAGTTTTCCAATCTTTCCTGATTCGCTACTGGTGGCCAGTAGCCAGCCATGGCTACCAAAAGCTAGCCACAATACACATGTTGCTATCACACATACAGACAAGTCAAATGCTATGAACTTACCTTGTTGGGTGACACATGCCATGACCTTCGTGTGCCATGTCGTTGCTGCAAATTTGTGGCCGATGATGATGATGATGACGACGATGTGTTTGTTGTTGTATTCAGTTGTGTTTGACTGGCACTAATACCATTACCTCCGTGGCCACCGCCACCAACACTTGGCCCACTGCTACAATTCGAACTGATGCCACTGCTACCGGAACCACTCAGTATCGATGTATTCTCATAGATATCCGCTGAGCAGATCGAGCTGTTTAGGGTGGCTGTACTGGCTGCCAGTGAGGGACAGGGTGAAGAGGATGGTGAGGGGGAGAAACAACCGGAATCGTATGAATTTAAAATTCTTAAACGATTACCAGGACAAAGACCCTGTTTGGAGGCGAGACATGAGACATGAAATGAAAAAAGAAAAAATAAAGGGAAATATAAAAATGTAATGTTTGTGGTTTATTTATTATTTCAAGAGGTATATTCTATAGTCAAAATAAAATAATATTTTTTTATGAAAGTGTATGGATATTTATGTGTGTTGTAGTTGTCTTCTTAATGTATCATGTTTGGGTTTGTTTGCTCTTTCTTTAACCTTGAATTGCATTTGAAACCACATGTTTTGCTTTATTTCAATTTCAATTATTGAAGAGGTTGGTTTTTGTTTTTGATTTTTTGTTGCTTTCGTTTCGTGTGTTTTTGTTTTTTTTTGAAGACTACCGTCTTCAAAATAATAATCCACAACTCACTTGAATTTTTTTTTAATAAAATCTTGTTTATTTCCCTTTTATCCATCGTCTGACATTTTAATTGAGTAAATTGTATGATCTTGTTTTTTGTTTTTTCTGTCTTCTTCGTTCATATGAGAAGGACATAAAAAATAATCACGCTGTCATTTGTTTAAATTAAACATATGTTGCTTTGTGGTTATTTATTTTTTTTTAATATTTTTGTTCATAAAAAATATATTCCAAAAGCAGACAAGTATTTTTCAAGTAAATATTTTTATTAAGTAGTAAAGCCGGTCTCGGCCGACTATATGATAAACTTCACCACGTTGGGTATATTGAACATAGGCATCCTTACAATTGCATGTCAATCATGTCTTTCTGCAACCTATGATAAATTTAATTTCATTCGGTCAGATTTAGAGTCATCTGCGTACCATGGGACAAATTTATGAAAAACGATTTAAATAGGGAATTTGGCGCAGCATTTGTCCTAAATCAGACGAAATTGTATACGGAAGCTATATCTAAATCGGAACCGATTTTCACAAAACTTAAAACACATCATTCTATACCTAATTCATTACGCTGTGCCAAATTTCGTGCAAACCGAAATATATTTAGGGACATTGGTTCATCATTTACCTTAAATCGGACAAAAATATATATGGGAGCTATATCTAAATCGGAACCAATTTCCACAAAACTTAGCACACATCATTCCAGACTTAATTCAGTACGCTATGCCAAAATTCGTGCAAATCAAAAGATATATGTGGACTTTGGTGCACCATTTACATTAAATCGGAGAAAAATATATATGTGGGAGCTATATCTAAATCTGAAGCGATTTTGATGAAATTTGACATACATCGTTGGAGACTTAATTCAGTACGCTATGCCAAATTTCGGGCAAATGGAAGAATATATAGGAACTTGGGTGTACTATCTACCTTTCGTGCAAATCGAAGGATATAAACGGATGGTGCGCCATTTACATAAAATCGGACGAAAATATATATGGGAGCAATATCTAAATCGGAACCGATTTTCATGAAACTTAACACACATCATTCTAGACCTAATTCAGTACGCTGTGCCAAATTTCGTGCAAATCGAAAGATATATAGGGACTTTGGTTCACCATTTACATAAAATCGGACGAAAATATATATGGGAGCTATATGTAGAACAGAACCGATTTCCATGAAATTTAGCACACATTATTATAGACGCAATTCAGTACGATATGCCAAATTTCGTGCAAATCGAAAGATATATGTGGACTTTGGTACACCATTTACATAAAATCGGACGAAAATATATATGGGAGATATATCTTAATCGGAACCGATTTTCACGAAACTTAGCACACATCATTCTACACTCAATTCAGTACGCTATGCCAAATTTCATGCAAATCGAAAGATATATAGGGACTTGGGTGCACTATTTACCTTAAATCGGAGGAAAATATATATGGGAGCTATATCTAAATCTGATCCTATTTTCAAGAATCTTAACACACAATATTCCAGAACTAATTCAGTACGCTGTGCCAAATTTTGTGCAAATCGGAATACTTATAGGGACTTTTGTACACCATCTACCTTAAATCGGACGAAAATATATATGGGAGCTATATCTAAATCGGAACCGATTTTCCCAAAACTTAAAATACATCATTCGGCACTTAATTCAGTACGCTATATGTGGACTTTGGTGCACCATATACATAAAATCGGACAACAATAATATGAGAGCTTTATCTAAATCTGAACCGATTTTAACGAAACTTTGCACACATCAATCTACACTCAATTCAATATCCTATGCCAAGTTTCGTGCAAATCGAAAGATATTTAGGGACTTCGGTGCACCATTTTCCTTAAATCGGACGAAAATATATATGACAGCTATATCTAAATCTGAACCGATTTTTCCCAATTTCAATAGGTTTAGTCCTTGGGCCAAATAGGCACTTTGGACACATAAAATGGGACGGAAATATATATGGGAGCTATAACTAAATCTGAACCGATTTTCACGAAACTTAACACGCTTCATGTTAGGCTTAATTCAGTACGCTGTGCCAAATTTCGTACAAATCGAAAGATATTTAGGTACTTTGGTGCATAATTTTCCCTAAATCGGACGAAAACATATATGGGAGGTATATCTAAATCTGAACATATTTTTCACAATTTGAATAGGGTTCGTCCTTGGTCCCAATAAATGAGCTGTGCCAAATTTCATTCAATTCGAATCATAAATGCGACCTGCACTTTGTTCACAATTTAACATCAACATACAGACAGACATGTCTGTATGTCGAATATGCATATAGAAAGTGATTCTATGCATATTCTCAAAAGGAACTATTACAAACATATGCACAAAGCCATAATACCCTGTACCACAGTGTGGTAAAGGGTATAAATACAAAAATACGAAACATTTTTTATATAAATTTGAAGAATTTTTTTTTCTAAAATTTTCAAAAAAAAAAAAAAAATATATATATATAGGGTAAGTGCACCAATAGTCGTCACTTTAAGAATTTTCGCTTTTTAAATGCTTCACCATTCCAAGTGCATCTTTTCCACGATATTGTATTTAGGTTCATCTGTTTCGAAATTTTGTTTACTCCCCCATGGAATACAAATTTGTTTAATTAACTTGTACTAAAGTAGATTAAATTAATAATTATGTAAAATAGTGCGCTTGTGCCAATAGTCGGCACATTTTTCCAATTGTCGGCATGTTATGTTCCAATAGTCGGTATGTCACATTTTAGTTAAACAAAAATTATATATTTAATTGAGTTTTATGCTATTTGCAATAATAAATTATTACTATGGGACGTTTCCATCAGTGTTTTATTGAAACAGTTATATAAAATAATATTATTTATTAAAGTATTGCAATTATAAAACATGGTGCCGGCATTGGGAACCTCCTATCCAATTCTCGGCATGGCTAAATAAGGCATTTCAGAGGTTAAAAGTATTAGATATTAAAATCGTGTCTTCTATTATATAAAACACTCAAAACTATTTTTTTATAAAATAATAGTTATTTACAGGACTTATTTAAAATGTTTTCTCATTTTGAGCCAAAATGATCGAAAAGGTGATTATTATTCACCCATATGCCGACTATAGGAAAACCTTAAAATTGTTTGTTCCTAAGGTCGGCATCGATAAAAATATTATTATTACAAATATTTTTTAATGATTTTAAATTCAAAGTATTCTCCTCTTTGTTCTTTACAATTACGAAGAAGATCCTTGTAAAAAAATATAATTTTAATATAGTTACAAGTCTTTTGAATATATTAAAAATGCAAAAAAAAATTCCAAAAAAATTTTTTTATTAAAATCGCATATAGTTTTTTAGTATTATATTACACAATGTGAACAAATACATTTTCCTTTTTCAAAATCTCCCCCTTTTTCAAAAATCCTCCAAATTTAATTATTATTTTGCATCAAAAACTATACGAATCCTTCTGATGCTCGTTTTAATTTCTCATATTTAAAAATTCCCTTTTACTTTGAAATCTTTCCCCTCCTTTGTCAACTTCTGTATGTGTTGAGGGGGGCTAATCAAAATAAATTACAATTTATTCCCTTTCGAAAAAAATGAACTAATTTCATGATGATGCTGATGATTAAAGCATGATTTCTCAAGCACACATTTTTTATGGGCCGACTTCATTTCGAAAAAGGCATCGTTTTATGCAGCAGGAAATCACTGTTAATTTTGATTGACACAGCGAATCAAAGAGGCATACAAAAATAAAACCATGAGAAATGAAAAAAGGACCGGTCGATTAAAAAAATGCAAATAATACCGAGTTGGACGACCATCAGGCAAAAAAAGGCCGTTAAGCAACATTGTATGATTACATGTTTAGATATGTATGCATGTGTGTCTGTCTGATTTTTGTTCTGCCTCAATCTCTAGATTTCCAACAAAAAAAATAAAATTTAAATAACAACTGAATTTTTTGCCGGGTAGACTAAGGATTTGAAAGGCTTGAACGATTTTGTGGCGATTTTTTCTTTTGTATTTTTTTTTGTCTTTTAATGATACGCATCTAAAAGCAACACGTTGTGAAATCGAAACTTCGTCGTTTTTTTTCTTCTGACACTTACCTGACGGCCGCGTAATGTACACAACCACCAACCGACTAAGCCATCAGTGTCCTGTTCCAAAACGGCCAATATGTCGCCCTTGCGAAAGGCCAATTCATCGGGTGAGTCAGCCGCATTGTCGTACAGAGCTTTGGCATAGAGTTTCTGAAAGGAAATAAAAAAAAAAAACAACAACAAAGGTTAGATAATGTTGAACATTAATAATAATCCTTAAGCATTAACAAAGCTGGCAGAGATTATTTTTTTTTGAAAAAAAAATTCTTGGAATTTGCAAAAGAATTTGAGAATCGCAGTGCAAATTTTTAGAAGAAAAAAAAGTAGAAGGAAAAATAAATTAATAACAAATATTAACACTAAAATAAAGGGTCCAATAAAGAGGATTAACACAAAAAAATTTTTAATATGGAGGGTATATTTTTTTGTTTTTCAAGCTAAAAAAAATATTTCGAAATAATAATTTCCATATAAAGTATATATATATTGGGATTGTGATCAGGGTAAAATTTGGAATGACGATTTAAGCATGTCCATGTCTAAAAATTATAAATATTGGTCCATTTTATCGGATAGCCTTCATATAAGGGTTAATCCGATTTTCGGTATTTTGGGAATCTTGAAGGCGTTTTTCAACCAAATTCTTTGTAATTTTGTTTTTTTTTGTAGTCGTATATGGTAACAAGCCTCCCTCCCAAAAATTATTAACATTCGCCCCCTTTTAGGGGTAGTCCCCATATAACCCCCCTTTTTATACCCTTCACCACACTGTGGTCAGGGTATTATGTCTTTGTGCATATGTTTGTAACAGGCAAAAGGAAACGATATAGACACATGGTTTCTTTTGAGAATATGCCTAGAATTACTTTCTAAGTACATGTATGCATGTCCGTCCGTCTGTCCAAGTAAAATTGTGAACAAAGTACAGGTCGCATTTATGATCCGAATTTTATGAAATTTGGCACAGCTCATCTATTTCGCCCAAGGACGAACCCTATTGAAATTGGGAAAAATCGGTTCAGATTTAGATATAGCTCTCATATATATTTTCGTCCGATTTTATGTAAATGGTGCACCAAAGTCCCTAAATATATTTCGATTTGCACGAAATTAGGTATAGCGTACTGAATTGAGGCTAGAATAATGTGTGTAAAATTTCTTGAAAATCGGTTCAGATTTAGATATATCTCCCATATATATTTTCGTCCGATTTAATGTAAATGGTGTACCAAAGTCCCTATATATCCTTCGATTTGCACGATATTTGGCATAGCGTACTGAATTGAGTCTGGACTGATGTTTGTTAAATTTCTTGAAAATCGGTTCAGATTTAGATATAGCTCCCATATATATTTTCGCCCGATTTAAAGTAAATGGTATACCAAAGTTCCTATGTAGCTATCGATTTGCACGAAATTTGGTATAGCGTACTGAATTGAATAATGTGTGCAATATTTCTTGAAAATCGGTTCAGATTTAGATGTAGCTCCCATATATATTTTCATCCGATTTAATGTAAATGATATACCAAAGCAAATGAAAGTTGGCATAACGTACTGATCATAGAATGACGTAATTGCGTGTTGTAGAAGTTCAGATGTAGTCCATATGTACTTCCGAACGATTTCGTGTTAATTGGGTGCCAAATATTCAACGGGTGCCCCATTGATATTTGCTTTAAATCGATTTACATAATTTTGTCCCATTGCAACAAACGAATGACATTTTTATAGATTGATCTAAGTCGGTTCACATTTAGATAAAGGTCATGTTAATAGCTCTTCTGTTAGGATGCATCTGTTTAATATACCCATAGTGGTGAAGGGTATAATATAGTCGACCCCAACCGACTTTACTACTTTCCTTTTTGTTTTAATTTCCCATAAGGCGTGAATTTAAAAAAAATTAATTTCCAATAAGACGTGGATTTTTATTTAAAAATTTTTTTAAAGCTGCAACTTTTCTTTGTCAAAAAACGAAGTTACTGTTGTTGTTTTTGTTGTTTCTTCGAAATTAGACTCGAATTATTTTTAATGGTGTTGCTTTGTTTATTTCATTTCTCTACACTTCATTTTCGGGTTTCAAGTTTAATTGCTGTGGCAATTGAAGGCAATTGTTTTCAAAATGCAAACAAAAACAACAACAACAAAAAAACATTTTTCGACTTTGTCAAGTGAAGAGCGTTTAAAAGTGTAACAAGCCACACTTAAAAATTGCTTTTGAAAAAAAAAACAACAAAAATAACAATTTCAGGAAAAAAAATAAAATTCAAACAAAAGAAACCCTCAACCTCCCAACTGTCGTTTGATTGTTACAAATGTTGACATGGACTTGAACATACATACGAGTACGAGTATATGCATATTCATATGTACTCAGTATACCCGGGTTTTAGGACGGTTGGTCTGGTCTGACTTGGCTCGCCTTGCCTTGCCTTAACTGTCTTGTCTAAGGGCTTGGTAATTTGTTGAACGATTTTACAACCCCAGTTTTTAGTATTTATAAGACAGAAAACATGGTTGAACATGAATCATTGTTATAATTTGTTGTGGTTACACCAGGGTATTGCAACATTATTTTGAAAAAAAAAATTAAAAAAATAATTCTTGAAGTTCTGCTAATGCATGCATTTTTTTTAAAAAGCATTTTAAAGTTCTGCTAAGGCGTTGTTTTAAAAAAATATGTTCTGAAGTTCTATTAAGGCGTGACTTTTTAATAAGAAAATATGTTTTGATATTCCCACAAGGTGTGGATTTTTTAAAAGAAATATTTTTTGATATTCCCACAAGGCGTGGATTTTTAAAAAGAAATATTTTTTGATATTCCCACAAGGCGTGGATTTTTTAAAGAAATATTTTTGATATTCCCACAAGGCGGGGATTTTTTAAAAAAATATTTTTTGATATTCCCACAAGGCGTGGATTTTTTAAAAGAAATATTTTTTGATATTCCCACAAGGCGTGGATTTTTAAAAAGAAATATTTTTTGATATTCCCACAAGGCGTGGATTTTTAAAAAGAAATATTTTTTGATATTCCCACAAGGCATGGATTTTTAAAAGAAATATTTTTTGATATTCCCACAAGGCGTGGATTTTTTAAAAAAGTATTTTTTTGCAATTCCCAAAAGGCGTGGATTTTTTAAAAGAAATATTTATTGATATTCCCACAAGGCGTGGATTTTTTAAAAGAAATATTTTTTCATATTCCCACAAGGCGTGGATTTTTTAAAAGAAATATTTTTTGATATTCCCACAAGGCGTGAATTTTTTAAAAGAAATATTTTTTGATATTCCCACAAGGCGAGGATTTTTTAAAAGAAATATTTTTTGATATTCCCACAAGGCGAGGATTTTTTAAAAGAAATATTTTTTGATATTCCAACAAGGCGTGGATAAATATTTTTTGATATTCCCAAAAGGCGTGGATTTAAAAAAAAATATTTTTTGATATTCCAACAAGGCGTGGATAAATATTTTTTGAAATTCCCAAAAGGCGTGGATTTTTTAAAAAAATATTTTTTGAAATTCCCAAAAGGCGTGGATTTTTTAAAAACATATTTTTTAAAATTTCCACAAGGCGTGGATTTTTTAAAAGAAATATTTTTTGATATTCCCACATTAAATAGGACGAAAATATATGGGAGCTATATTTAAATCTGAACCGATTTTTATGAAACTTAGCACACATCGTTCTGGACTTAGTTCAGTACCCTATGCACAATTTCGTGTAGGTCGAAAGACATATAGGGACTGGTGCCCCCGTTTTTTTCGAAACTTGACACACACCATTCAAGACTCAATTTAGTATCCTATGCAAAATTTCGTGCAAATCGAAAGATATATAGGGACTTCCGGACGAAAATATATATGGGAGCTATATCTAAATCTGAACCGATGTTCACGAAACTTTACACACATCATTCTGGTCCTAATTCAGTACTCTATGCCTAATTTCGAGCAAATCGAAAGATATATATAGGGACTTTGGTGAACCATTTACATAAAATCGGATGACACTATATGTGGGAGCTATATCTAAATCTGAACCGATTTTTTCGAAACTTGACACACACCATTCAAGACTCAATTCAGTACAGTATACAAAATTTCGTCCAAATTGGAAGTTATATAAGGACTGCGCGGCACCATTTACATAAAATCGGACGAAAATATATATGAGAGCTATATCTTTATCTGGACCGATTTTCACGAAACTTAGCACACATCATTCTGGACCTAATTCAGTGCCCTATGCCAAATTTCGTGCAAATCGAAAGATATATAGCGACATTGGTGCCCCATTTACCTTAAATCGGACGACACTATATGTGGGAGCTATATCTAAATCTGAACCGATTTTCTCGAAACTTAATACACGCCATTCAAGACTCCATACATTACAGTGTGCCAAATTTCGTGCAAATAAAAAGTTATATAGGGACTTTGCGGAACCATTTACATAAAATCGGACGAAACTATATGTGGGAGCTATATCTAAATCTGAACCGATTTTCACGAAACTTAGCACACATCATTCTCGACCTAATTCAGTACCCTATGCCAAATTTCGTGCAAATCGAAAGATATATAGCGACATTGCTGTCCCATTTACCTTAAATCGGACGAAAATATATATGGGAGCTATATCTAAATCTGACCCGATTTTCTTCAATTTCAATAGGGTTCATCATTGGGCCAAATTAGTGACTTGTGTCAAATTTCATCCAAATCGTATCATAAATGCGACCTGTATTTTGTTTACAATTTAACATCTACAGACGGGAGGACATGCATAATTCGACTCAGAAACTGATTCTATGCATATTCTCAAAAGGAACCATGGGTCTATCTCGTTTCCTTTTGCCTGTTACAAACATATGCACAAAGACATAATACCCTGTACCACAGTGTGGTGAAGGGTATAAAAATATGTTTTTTTTCTAATATTCTAAAACTTCCAGCCATTTGAGGAATTCATCTCCAGATTCCCTGGAAATTCACTTTGACTCACACCACCCAAAAAATTAACACTTTTTCAATGGAATTTTTATTTGAGCAAATTAGTTTATTTATTTTTTTTGTTTTTTCAAACAGTACCATTGTTGGCAAATTCAATTGACAACAAGATCCACATGCAAACAAAATTGTC